GCATTAGGGAAGGGTGGAGAACCACTGGGTTTAACCTGTTCTTGAACAGAAAAGATTACTGTTTATCTCACATCTGAACAACATCAGTTGGACTGCACAGGTCCATGTATCCATGGATTTTTTTCAATAAATTCACTTGGCCTTCACGGATTTCACATCGGCAAATTCAGTCAACTGCAGATAGAAACCAGTATTTCCCACATTCCCAACTCCAGATTTTTTTACTTTCTTCTGGCCAGCTTGCCCAAACTGTGGGGACAAAAAAATAATAATATTTCTCCTCTCACCCTGTAAGCTCTTCCAGCTGTTATAGTAGTCAAATTAATAGGGACAGATTAACAGGAGAAAATCAAATTTCAATACATACACGTGGGGAATTCACATAAGCAAGAAAATTCCAAAGACAGCGAGGCAGCATTGGGTATGTGACATTCTGGACAGAGGAGAAAAGGGGGGGATAGGGTCTTAGATTTTAGAAGTAATTGAGGAAGAGCAGAACACATGGTAGATAAATTCTTATTAACAACCCAGAAACAATGGGACAGGGGGTAGCAAACAGGTCCCCATCTGACACCTTCCCACCCACCACACTCAATGCAAATTAGGCTGCTAAGCCGACATCCTAAGATTCCACCCCCCACCGCCCCGTGGAGCTGGTCTTTGCCTCTTGAATCTCTGGGGCAGGAAGTGGGAAGGTCAAAGGTTCTTTCTGAGACCTGTTTCTTAATTAGCTTCAAATTAATATCCCAAAAGGCAGCTTCAGGTGGCAAGTTTTGGTCCCCTTCAGTCCCAACCCCGGTTGTTGAATCCACAGATAGAAAGGGCCAGAGGTGGAGCCAAAAGGTCTAGGAAGGAGCCCTGGCCAGCCTGGCTGAATGGTGAGAGCGTGAGGGTCCCGGGTTCGATTCCCTTAAGGGCAGGGCGGGGTGTGGGGGGATGAAGGTATAAGGATCGGTGGTGCAGGGTCTGCACACCTCACCCCCACCCGCCTGGGTCAAGGGAAAATACCTGTGTAGAGGGCTGGGCACTCCCACGGTTTCAGGCCTCAGGGGTGGGGTCTTGGAAGGCCAAGGATGAGGGGGGGCACGGACAAGGGGAGACCATCATGTTCTGAGTCGTTTACCTCCGTTTAACATCATCATAGGGAGAGGCAGGGGCCCTTTGGATCGACTGCACAGAGCGCCGGCCAGGAGCCCCCCTTCCCAGGTACCGGACTAAGCAAGCAGGTGATTTGCACAATGCGCGGCCCCCTTTTGTGGGTGTGCGCGGGGGTTGGCGGGGGGGGGGGGGGGCGGTGAACTTCAATGTTTCAGTAGAGGATCTTCAGGTATAAGAAGGCGCTGCAAGGTTCTGGAAAGTTCCCTCGGTCCGCTGAGGCTACGGGCGCCCCGAGGCGGATTTACAAATTGCCTTGGGCCAAAGCCCCTCACAAACGGAGGCGGAGAAGTGGCCGGGAAAGATGGAGGCCGCCCGCCCGCCAGTCAGCCTCGTGCGCTCCTGCCCACCCGCGCCCGTCACTCACTCTGCGCCCGCCAGTCCCGCGCCCACCTGTCAGTCAGCCAGCCTGGCGCGGGGCCCGGCGGAAGGGGCTGGTCGAAGGCTCTGCTGCACACGATTCATTGGTCGCGGGGAAACTCAGCGGCGCCGCGAGTCCGGCTCTCCTCCGACCCGGGGTAACGGCGGCGTTGCGGCACGTCTGC